GAGAGGGAAGGGCTGAGAACAGATGCAAACCAGAGCCAGGATTGCTGTTCCAGCTTTGTGCAGCAGGGATGGAAGGTGGGGCTCGCTGCTCCCCTTGGCACTGGCTGCTGCAGGAGCTTTAGCAGAAGCTGGGATCCAGAGCACCCCTCTCCTGCTCCTCCCTGATTTCCTTCCAGGCTGAATTCCAGCTTTACACGAGTGCATGGAGCTGCTTGTTCTGCACTCATTTCAATGAGGTTTCTCAGTATCCTAAAGGCCAGACAACGACTTGGAAGGACCAGTTGTTCTGACGCCCTTCCCCTCAACACAACACAAAGCAATTTGCTCACTTTGTAACCTTGAACCTGCTGCCTCAGGGTGTGAGTTAACTCCTGTCAGGGCTCTGGAGGGAATAGTTCCCTCTGATCTTCCAGCAATGCACATGCTACTGGGTACAGTCACGCAGGTGTCACCTCCTTCCTGAGCACCAATTACAGACTACAGCTGTTGGAGACATTTTTATATTTCAGTATGAACCTTGTTCCGTGTATCATTGATACAATTTCATTAATACAATCAATAGATTACATTATCCTGGAAGAGTTTGGTGCACTGCTTGTATCAACACTTGAGTGATTAAGTTTTTACTACTTTTTTTTCCCAAATACCAGCTTAAACTCAGTGCAGCAAGTCCAAAGTTTGGTTTCTCCAGTGCAATTTGTAGGGATGGCTTAGTGCAGTATTTAGGAGATGCTTTATCCACTAATTTATTGACTTTGATGACAAAGTCCCAACCTTAAACTTGCTGTTAGCTTTGTCATCCTGCTTCCCTCTGTGGCTGCTGCCCTTCAGTGCAGGAAATCTAAAATGAAATGGCAACTTCTTGCCTGGCCAGGAGAGGTGGGCTGGCCCCCGGGGCACTGGCATCAGCTTTGCAAACAGAGAATGAACTCCCCTCATCACCTGCCACTTGATATCCTTATCAAAACTAAGGCTGCTAGAGGGGGACCATTTTATTAAGACTAGAAATTCTTTCGGGAGCACAGTCACAAGTGCCCTGACATATGGAAATGGATGTAATTTCATCTGATGAGACAGCTAACACTCAGATGGAGCAGCAGCACTGTGCCTGGGCAAGGGAACACCCAACGAGCTGAGCATGGGTGACTTCTCCCTGTGTCTGAAGATTTCAAAGACTGAGGAGATCACTGCATGTTATCCTGGCTAAAACCACAATCTGTTCCCTGTTTGCTGACCAGAATATCTCTGTTTATGTGCAGCTGAAGCACACAAGCTGTCCTGCTCTGAACAGCACCTATTCTGCTTATTTTTGGTGATGATAATTGTTGGGTGACACAAAGGGGTGTTTAGTTAATTAAGGCATGGCAATAAAACAGCCACGAGAAAAAGAAGAAATTCCAAATTACAAAAAAATCTTAATGCTAAAGTACAACTGAACATGTCTGATGAATTTCTGTTAATGCCAGAGTATCACCAAACTCAGCCAATGACCAAAAAAAAGGGACTGATTTTTGTCACTGCATCTCTTCAGGCAGAACAACTCTCAGACCTTGGAATAAAATACAGGGCAGGAAAAGAGAAGTTCAGTGCGCACAGAAGACATCATCTTTCATAGGTCACTGAAAAGCAGGGAGGAATGCAGGCAGAGCCCACCTGCAAAGCAAGGTGCTGGCAGCAGCCAGTGATGGAGCAGCTGCTCTCCCCAGAGAGCACCGACCCATTGTGCACCATGGTGGGGAAGGGGCTCAGGACAGCAAATCTACACAACCTCTGCAAAGTCTAGCTCAGCCTGCTGCATTCAAATTATCTGAAAGCAACTTCATGCAGGGTCTCAGATCCTGCTTTCCAGTTTGCTTGGTTAACGACACGAGGCAGGAGCTGTCATCTGTGTCTGTGGAGCAGCCACTGCTCCCAGGAACCCAGACTTGCCTGGGACATTGGGTAGAACTGAGAGTTTAAAAAAGGAGGAAGAATCTACCAAAATAACTGTTCTCCACAGGCCCGACCAAATTAAACCCTCAATGTGTGAGTTTTAATTGCATGTGTTACACATCTCAGCTCTACAGCAGTTGGAGTCATGGAACCAAGCACTGAATCTGGCCCATGATAGCATTTGTTTAATGCACTGAATTTTTTGACCCACACCATTTCCTGTACAGCCATGGAAATTCCAAAGGTAAATCTCTGTTGTGATCCCCTGCCAAGACTCATTTTTGGTGAACTATTTGAAAAACCTTTGGAGCTCAGGGGTGTGCATCAAGAGATGAAGATTTGCTCCAGGGAGGGAAGGAGCTTGAGTACAGAGATTAGAAATATGTGCAAGTTAAATAAACTACTCAAACACAAGATGCTAATTTAGCAGCTTCAAAGGCCATATTTCTCCAGCCAGCCCAAGACATAGAAAGACACAATTTCATTAAAATAACCTAATCCCACTATTGTTTTGAGTGCTACATTTATTCAAACACAGCCCACCAGCTCTCAATTAGCTGCTTTTGCACTCCAACTGCAGCAGGTCTGCAGTGCACAGAAATGTAATTATTCACACACCACCCTGTCACTGCCACCACTGTCTGTACTTCTAAAGCATCTTGATTACTCCACTGATGAGCACTATGGAAATGCCTATAAATAAAATAATCATCTCCCCTCATTAAGTTCCAGCTCGTGGACTGAGGGAGGATGATTTCCCTTTGTACGTTCCTTTTGTAAATTTTATCATTTCACAACAGAGGGAGCAACGTGCCTCTGATGGCACTCAAAGAGACAGACTGTCAGGATTCTTGTCAGTATTTCAGCTTTGAGCAGCTTGCATTTTTGCATGAATATTTCCTCCTGAAAATAAAGTGCTGTTTGTCAGAATCATGCACGCAGGAATCTCTTTCTAATGTCAGCATCAGACATGCAAAACCCCCTAATGTCATGTCAGGAGGTCAGATTTTATGGAGCAGTATGTCATGGAAACCCTAACAGCCAGCATTAGCCTCTAGCTCTGACTTCCACATTAGAACACACATCTATAATAAACAAGCATTGAAGGAAACCTTCCACTAAAAAGAAAGCCTTGGGCAACCAGGTTTGCTCTTCAAGAAGCTTCAACAGCAATTGGTGCTGCAAACAAATATCAAACATCCCATTATTGCCAAATCACAGTCTCACTGTTTTCAAGAACTGCATTACTGGGTGTACATTTGCACACACTGGAACTCCCAGCAATGTCTCCAACATGCAATCAAATATTTCATAAAATGGTGAATTATAACGCCAGAGAAACGAGTGAAATGTCATATCAGGGCTGATCCTGTCTTGCTCTCCTGCCAGAGGTGGAAGGGAATCACCACTTGCTCCTGTAAACAGCTAAAAGAGGGAGAAGAGAGGAGTCTGATGGAAGCTCATGGAGCGTCCCTATTCCTGCACCATCCAAAGCAACATCTCCCCTCCAAACTGCCAGCAGCTCTCAAGGAACTGAGGCCACTCACAGGTTCAGATTAAGACCCCCCTTCCCAGCTGGGAGAACAGCAGGACTCTGTGTCAGCATGAGCAGGGAGCTGCTCTCAGGCCAGACCCAAAGATGAAACCCTCTACACAGCTGCTGTGACACAAAGGGCAGGGTCCTGTGCCCAGGTGTCACCACCTCAGCGAGCACAGGGCATTTGACTCTCTCCTTCCTCTTTCCCTGCTCTCTCCCAAGGTTTCCAGTGCATCACTCGTGGGATCACTGCTCACTTCCAGCAGGTTACTGTGTCTGTGGACAGTGCAGCTGGACAGTCACCCTCTCATGTTCAAACTTGAATCTGAGGAAGGAGAAGTGCTGTGTTGAGGCAAGTGGAAAGGAAAGCTTTGGCAGACAGATGGGATTTTTTTGTGTATCTGAAGTTGCACCAGACAATAACTAATGTGCAGGATGCAGGATGGGACAAAGCAAGAATCACAGAATGGTTTGGGTTGGAAGGGACCTTAAAGATCATTTAGTTCCAGCCCCCTGCTCTGGGCAGGGACACCAGACTGTCAGGTCAGAGTGACACTCCTGGACTTTGCAGAACAATGTAGGAACCTGTATTTGGGATGAACATTTTTATCTGTAAAATCTGCATTTTCTTGGACTGAGCCAGTGCTTGAAAAATTTTCTCCAGAGACAGGACAGAGTAAATTTAAAGCAAAACCATCAATCCCTAGAATAGCCAGCATCCAAATCCACACAAGAGCTGTGCTGCCTCACTCCAGAATCTGGAGCAGGAAAAAGAGTGACAAAAATAAGATCGTTCCTCAATTACAATAAACAGAAATGTTAATCAAGCTCAGAATTGTCCTTGAAGAATCTAGCTCTTCCCAGCTCTAAAAATGATCCCCCACATTCCTTTAAGGCTTTTCATAGATACAGCAATATGAAATGGCTCGTTGCTGTGTAGCTGCTAACAAGAGACAGATGTTTCCTTCAGTTCCAGCAACATGTAGACATGAAGCACATTTTGATGACCTGCTAAATATTTCTGACTCTTTCTGCACGTTACCTCCTCGTGCAGTTAGTCAAGGAAATGCTCCACAGTTCCACACTTTCCCTGCTGGCTCTGGAGCTGGCCAGAAGGGCATGCTTGGATTAATCACTTTATCTTAGCAAGCCTTCACCAGAGGGCAAGGAAAGTCAAGCAGCACGGTTTCACCAAAGCTGGAGAGTCGTTCCAGTTAGTCCAGAGCCAGATCAGCTGGTGGCTGTGAGCCCAGCTCCCCCTGTTATTTATTTAGCTGGCCCAGAAGACACGCACCGCACGCCAGCGTGCAGGGCGAGCATCTGCTCCACCCAGAGCCACGGCTACATTCTTTACTTGGTATTAATATCAGGGAGAATTTAGTAACCTAACCACTGGCATGAGAAGCCACACTTCTAAGGGAACAGATGGCAACAATCATCTCAGCTTCATTTTAGGCTTCAAGAATTGCTCTGAGTCAGCAAAGCCGCACGACGAGAGGAAGAAAAACGTAACATCTGTAAAACCTCCTACCTGCTTCCCATCCAAGGTGTAGAGCTTTTTGACCACGCCTGTCTCCAGTTTGATAGCCTCAGTGATGTCAGTGAGGACCTGCTCGAAGGAGTGGGCAGTTTTCTTGTTGAGGAGCACACGCACAGCCTTGCGGGGCTTCACCCCGCTGCGGATGATGGTCACCAGCTTGGGGCGCACGAAATCCTTGTTCTCCTTGGCCTGGGCACTGTTGCTGCTGGCCAGGGACTGAGGTGCTTTCTGGTTGGCAGAGGTCTTCACGTTGACAGACCAGTTGGGGTTGACATTCTTGGTGTATTCCACCTTCTTGAAGAAGTTGTCTGACGAGCAGACGTAACTCTCCCCTGCAGGAAGAAATGAGAATTCTACAGTAACCACCAGCCCTGGGCTCTTCCCCCATGAATCATGCAGACCATTAATAATTGTTTCCATTAGCACTCCCACGACAGCTTCTCCTTAAAACATTCTGCCTTGTTTAAATGTTATATTTATGGTTATTTAAAATATTGCTGGTGTTTCCACAAAGTAAGCGAGTCAGCCATCAGCAAATACATACAATCACATGAACCAGGGGTTAAAAGATGTTGAGTTATAAATATTATCAGTATATATATTTAGGTACCTGAAGATGCAGCTAAGCTTTCCAAGAGCTTCAGAACACCAAATTAATTTGACCACCCCAATTATTTTATAAATTTGCCAGTTTCCCCTTTATCTTTACAGACCCAGGTACTATTTCAGTGTGTCTGCATCACGCCTGAAAAATTATCAAAATCTTGTCCTGAACAGTCACCACTAAAAGTAGCCTTGATAAATCCAGCAGGCATAACAAATATGCACTGTTAGAGCATCAGTGGTTTATTAAGGAACAGACCTAGTGGCAGCTGAGATTAAACACTGCACCAAATACCACTCCTTGATTTACATGGCTGGTACCAACCAAAAATACATTAAATCCAAATTTAGACATGGCAGAGAAGAGTTACAGGGTCTTTTAAGTAATTCACAAAAAGCCCTTCCCTGTCCCACCCAAAATTAGTTTCAGGCTTTGTCTGTAATTTACAGGATCCTATCTATCTAAGGTTTTAAAAGCACCTTAAAGGATTTGTAGGAGCTTCTTTTGGGCCTGCAAATCTGATGGATGCTGGAAGAGTTATTACTAGAATGAGACTGTAAACCAGTATCCCTAAGGGAATGTAGCTGTCTGGTCTGAAATGACTCAGGCTGCACTGAAAAAAAGTCACTCACTGCTGGAGGAAGAAGCTTTTGTCTCGCCATTAGATAAAATTTTAATAGGAACTGAAGGCATGACATGGGAACCTGTAGGATTTGAGAGTCTCTTCTGGTGTTTTCTTTGTCTGATCTTACAGAATTAAGTTCCTCATGTCCTACGATACGTTTGAAATCAAAATACAGATTTAACTATTTTGAAAAACAATTTTTTTTTAAAAAAGAAATTCCTTCTTTACAAAAAACAGATTGGCTGCGTTTCCTTGTCTGTCCCTGACTGCAAACTCCAAGGCTCAGACATCTTTGAAAAGCCAATCCCACAGCCAAGTCTGGCTTCCCATCCAGGGATCTCTAGGACAGGATTTGACATCCAGTTGGCAAAATATGGATTTCCAAACATCCCACTGATTTTCACATGTGCCAGGCATGTAACATGCCCAGGATAAAGTCCATACTGGAACTCCTTCTGCTGACTAAACTGCACTTCTGATGGAGGCACCAGAACCCATGGTGAGACCCCAACAGACCCACATAAACAGATTTTAACAGGCTTGTAACAGCACTCTGTATTTCTGTCCCTACTGCTGATCAGGGTGTGATGTCACAAGCAGCCATTGAAAAGATGCAGGATTCTAATTTATTTTAACCCCACATTTGTACCCACTTTGGCCCTGTGATGCCCACTCGTGGTGTTTACATCACCAACTGCAGCTCTTCTCCATCATTTGTATAAAAATGACCAAAATCCTTGATCAACAGGAAGCAGTATTCTGTTTCTCCTTCTACAGATGGAATACAAATCCAGAAGAGAGCAGAGAGCTGACCAGGTTCATGATGAACACTCAGTTGGGCATTTTGTCAGCTGGTGTACCCCAAACTAACAATAATCCTCCCAGCAAGTTCTGCTGGCTTGAACAAACAGTAAAAATCTCTCTTTGCTGACAGCAACACCCCTCAATAAACCAACCATGCAGCCCTGCCCATGGCTGGAGCTCCTTAATCCCCTACATTTTGTGAATCTGACTCAATAGAAACTCAAATGTACCCCCCCCCCCAGAGTACCACACATTATACAAAATTCCCTCTGGGGATATTGTTTTCTAGAAGCTTTGAATACTTCAAATCTTTCTGATAAATAAGTGATAAGTTGTGGTTTATTCATCTGCTTCAGCCAAGTAACACCTGGTGCAGAGCAGGCCAGGCTTCTCTCCAGTTTCAGGACTGAGAGAAAGGCAGCAAGGGGTCTGGGATGCTCCCAGGGAATTAACCATCCTAAGAACCTGAGCCCTCCCAAGCCCATAATCCCTGGGCAGCAGAGCCCTCCTAAGTGTGCTCAGCAGAACTGGGCATTATCCTCTGAGAAAAGGGATTTCTCTGTTTAAATGCAGCACTAAGAATAAGTGATTTGGATGCTGCTGTCACCCACCCCTGCCCCATCTTCCCTGTGCCAGCTCCTGACCTCACCTGCACCTCTGCTTCCCCACCCAAAAAACACAATAGACTATCAGCCACTGAAGTGTGAAAGGCTTGACTTTCATCTGCATCTGACCTCCATTTGTACTATTTTCACAGTGAAAGAAGTACACATCTGCACTGTGCTCTGTAGACACATGAGGAGCTGGAGCATATTTTCTATTAACAAGTTGCATATTTTGAAGTAAGCTGGAGAGATTCTTGCTCTGTCTGGTACAGTACCGTTATTCTTAGTTCCAGCTGAGCCCTTTTGAACTCCTCACTGCACACCACAGCTGTTTGTGCATTTACACCACTCTACACCAAAGGCAACAGTGGCATGAAGGCAAAACTCTTGCAGGGTTTGTTCCACAGATGTGATCTCAGGCAGCTCTGCAGATCCACACACTGGCCTCTCAAGCTGTGCTCACACTCACAAGTGGAAAATGGGATCTGCCCTTTCTCCCTTTGTCTCATTTAACCCAAACCCCACCAAATAAAATCTGTACTTTATTCGAGTCGGAAACTGGAGAGGAATTCCCTTGGAGTGACACTCCAGAATAGCAGTGTCTTCTCAGCAGCTCTTCCCAGCATCATTCCTGCAGTCACAGCAGCACAGCTCCAGGGAAGAGGGGCTTTTCTTTCCTTCCTTCCTGACCTAAGCATGTGACCTGAAGCTTTAACTTCATTTAAAAATCACTTCAACTAATGTCTTCCCTAACTCAGTTTATGACCCTCAAATAGCAGCAAAATCATTGTTCAAGCTCCTCAGTGAGGCACATGCATTTGCCAGCCAGGAACACACTTCCCACAGTGGATTTCACTTCCCACAGTGGAGTTTTACCCAAACCTTACCATGGTGGTAGCAGGATGGAGCAAGCATGGGCTGAAGACCTGTGAACTTTCCAGCTTTTAACTGCACAATGTGGCCAGGAGATGATAAAAAGGAGAAACCTCACAGGGAATGGAGCTACCATGGAGGGAGGAGCGGGTTCTCTGCGGGTTTCTCTGCCACATCTGTCTGTGCTAAGCCTATAATGAGAAGTCAAGGTGTACAACTGTGCCAGGCACAGAAATATGACTGACAGACACAGCGTGATGTGCTCAGCATAACAGAAGGAATGGGAAGTGGATGTGAGATCTTGTCACGAGCAAAAGAAACAACTCTAAGAGGAACATTGCTCCCCAGCCCGAAGCACAAAAATCTGTGCACAAATCTTTTCAGGAACACACTTCTCGAGCCAGCAAGCAGCTGTGCACACGTGCAGAAATCCCACTGCAAGCCATGAGAAGGTACAATGCACAGCCACGTCATTAATCCCAAACAAACCCCAGAAAGGGAGCCCCAAAGAGACACACTCATGCACTGGGGGTGGGGAGCATCATCCTGACAAAATCCCTGTGGTGCCACAGCATTTGTTTAGTGCAGGGCCAGCTCAGAGCAGGATGCCCTTTTTACACTGCAGCACACAGGGGATGTGCATTGTCACCATGGTGTCACTCGTGCCACCAAACCAGCCAAGGCATTTCCTCACTCCTCCTGCCTGCCCCCAGCAATGGCTGGGCTGGCTGCAGACCTCAGACCTCCTGCCATCACCATCAGATTTGCCATTTGAAGCCAGGCTTGTATCACACAGAATTACTCCAAGTGCATGACACATCCCAGTTTGATGGAAGCACAAGGAGATTATTCAGCTCCTAAAGAAGGGATGATCTCAGCAAAGATAAGGTTTGCCTCAGAGAAGGTTCCTTAGAAAAACCCTAAGCTCCAGATGAGCACTAATCCTCCAACCCTCTTACAGCAGCTCCCTGAGACAATACCAAAAATGACAGGCTGTCCTTTCAGAAAGTTATCCTTCCTCAGCATGCACCAGCAACTTTCCAAGGATAATGAACTGTGGGAAGAAGTCTTTTGAGAAAAATCAGGAAAGCTGGATTGAGGCCATTTTGAATGTCTAAGTGTTAGCAGTTATTCCAGGAACAGTCTCTGTGGGCAGCAGTCAATTATTTTGGCTCTTAGTTCTGCAGTTGCAAAGTTGAGATTGTGCTACTGTGCCCAGCTTTTATGTTTCATGGAATTTACCAGGGCTGCAGCAGGAATTAAGTGGACTTAACACCTTGCAGAGTTCATTCCATATGGTGTTGGAACAGGCCTTGAGTTTCAAATGCATGAACTTGCTGCTGTTTTATGAGTTACAAAGACCTACAACAGTTAAAAATACCTGCTCCAGCATGGCAAAATGAACCCTGGAAGAGCTCCCTTCCCTTGGCTCCTCCAAGAAAGGAAGAACCTCTTGTTCTGCTGAAGAAGAGGAAGAAATGCTTGATTAGAAATCACCTTCAAAACCACGTGATGCCCAGAAGGAATTTTGGGATCACACCAGTCCCAGAGTGACAGCCAAGATGAGAAAGCAAATAAAACAGAACCCCATGGACAATTTTTGTTATGTAGGATGTAATTAGCTGAGCTGTCAGGCCAACAGACACCACAGAAAACAATTCCACAGGTTACCAAGGTTTCAGTGTGAAACTGCAGGAATTTCACTTTTCCAGGCAAACTGGAACGCACACACTGGGTGGAGATTCCAGGGTGTTTCCTATAAACCCCTCAGTCCCAGCACACACCAGGCTCTGCACAGTTCCAGGGTGGAGCCCCTCTTATGATTACTTTAAATACTCCTGGACAAGACTTTGGAAAATATTCCCAAGGGCATGACAGGATACAAAAAGCTTGGAATCACTTTCTGGAATATCTCACACAGCCCAAGGACATTTGCAATGAAACCACGCTGAGCAAAACAAATCCTACTCAGCTTTTTCTAGTGTTTGATATGAAACAAGGGCAAATTTCAAACAAACAGCCAGGTCAGGGCATAAAATCCACCTTTGGATGTGCCTTGCCTTCACTCCTGGGTTGTTCCTCACTGTCCATTTCATTATGGACAAGATCAAGGAGATGAATATGGGAAAGAAGCAAAATCATGGAGAGGGCTAAAATAAACTTTTGTCCCACAAAGAACTCATTTATGGGACAATGGGGACTGGAACAAGTGGCCAAGAGCAGCATTTCTTAAACCATCTTTGCTGCTGAAGTCAATGCACAACATCAGCTTCCACCTCTACCCAGCCCTCCATTCAAGGATAAAAAATAATCAGAGCTGAGGTGGGACAACTTCTCATCACATCAAGTCCAGAAGAAGAGGCTCAAAATGAACCAATGACAAAACCACCATGTCCAGATATCAAAGGAACTAAATTTTAGCTGAAACTTGGATGAAAAGAGAGCTACCCTATGATCATCTTGAGAAAGGTTGGAAAGGATGGCACGTGATTATTTCAGCATCTTTCATAGGCAAGTTTTATCACTGCACAAGGCACAGAAATATCTGTTACAAGTGACTCACCAGTAAAGGCAGCTATATAAATCAACTTCCCAAAGCCCTGGTCACTGGAACCAATTCTATGTGAAGGGGAATAAAGCTCGCCTGGTGCTCTTTTCCAAAAGATTCATCTGCCATGATAAATGGCAGCACCTTGGGCCAACATCCACTCCTGACCCAGCCAAGGCAGTGGGACAGGAGTGGGAGATGCTCTCAGCAGTTTATTGCTGCCAGCACGAGCTGGAACAGGATGCTGCCCTGCACTTAACCAGCAGAGAGATTAAGGAGGAATGCAGTCCTAATCAACATCAGCAGGTGCATTATTTACAAATATATTAAAGCTGAATGCTGAAAATAGGAAGTCAGGATTGAGACAATGACTTCAGTGAGGGAAGATGGCTGCTAGAACTGAAAAGGGGAAGAAAAATTGATCAGGTGGATGGATTTTGAGAGAAGGTCACTGGGAGGTGAGACAGCTCCCTGGAAAAGAATGGAAAAAGCAACCTGTGACCAGTGAGGCAGCAAAAGGCACCTGTGTGACAGAGCTCTGAGGGCTTCCAAAATGTGAGATGTCAGGGTGCAGTATAGAAAGGACAAAGAGGCTCATCCCAACAGATGGAAGGAATGTGGAAAAAAGGCTGTGAAAAACTTCACTTGTTCTCATTATGAGAGTAACCTTGAGTGCCAGGGAAGAACTCTGGGTCTGGAGAACAAAAGGGTGATTCCAAGCCCCAGTTAATTATCAGCACACCATGTGGATTTTGTTCACCTGAAATGTCTGTCTCTAGATATTGGTACTGTGCAATATCACTCTCTACCTCCAGAACTACATTCAGGCTACACTATATAAGTACATTTTTAAATCAGAAGTAATCAAGTACTCAGAGCATGATGTGTAGTATTGTCAGTAATTCACAGGTTTTTGCCATCAGACCTCTGAGATGAGCCTCTTTGATGACTTTTCCTAGATTCTACTTGTTTACTGGAAATTACAATGATAAATTAGCCCCATTATAGCAACAAGCACTGGTTTGGTTACCCTCAGTCTCCAAGCAGAAAATCAATTTATAAGGCAGACATGCCCTGGCTGTGTGTGCAGTGTTCTTGTGTGTCACAGCAGAATTACTCCCAAATTCTGGGTTTCATGCAGGTACCTTGCACACAGCTATGCAAACACCCAAGCTAAGGGCAGAGTTCACCACAAGGCTGGTTATAACCACGGTGTTGTAAATTGCTTTTCTACAACAGAAGTGAAGGTCACCCCTAGAAATATGGGGTCAAGAGCAGTGTGCAGAGCTACCCTGGCATGTTCAAAAAATTGATTCCTTTGTCTTCACTCTGCTCAGGTTTTATTTTCCTAGCTGATGCTCTGCTGAGGACACAGCCACACAGACAATCCCATCTTGGTGTTAGTGCCTCTTCTTCAGTGCTGTTTCCAGGTGCCATTTTGGCAGAACAAAGCCAGAACCCAAATGCCAGCATCTCCTGTCTGCACCTCAAGCAGCAAAATGTATTTTCATGGACTAGGTACCTCCTTATCTGCAGCAAAACCCATTTAAAGCAGGTGTAACAACTGAACCTTTCTTAACTTCACTGACAAAAAGCAGGAAGAGTGTAAGAGGAGGAAGAGTGCAAAAAGAGAATAAAGAATTGCATTTTCTCCTGGAGTTATTTCTGAAGATTTGCAAAAAACCCAGTACAAGCAGCACTGAGAGCTGCCATTAGAGAAAGGCTGTGGCCATATTAAGAGACCAGGATGAAATATGGCAGAATCTCCAAAATTAAGGGAGGCCACACCTCCATTCGACAGCAGTAATTGGGCTGAGAATAACTCCACTAGGAAGCATCACAGCTCTGAAAGGCAGCAGTTTCTTCCCAGGAAAACTCCTCTATGGAAACCATTATTTATTCCATGTCCTTGTCCCCGCAAAGTATTTTGGGGAGATGAGTATCCTGCTCGGCAGGCCAGGAATTCTAGGGAGAGCTGCTTTAGTCAAGGTCACACACAATGCCTCGCAGCCAAGGCTGCCCCTGCAGCTCATGCCTCACTCGCATCCATTGTCTTGTACTAAAGGGAAAACCTCGTGGATTTTCGGTAGTCACCAAACTGGCCAGGACGTCTGCTTGGAGAAAAACACCGAGGGAAAGGGAAGAGCACCTCCCGTGCTGCAACGGGATCCGAACAAAGAATGAATTGCCCGGGGAAGAGCAAAGCAGCGTGGCTGTGGGTGCCCTGTATCCATCCCACGGGCGAGGATGCAGGACTGGCCATCCCAGCAGCGTCATCCCAGGGCTTGTCCCGGCACTCCCGGGAAAGGCAGCGCCCAGGGCAGCAGAGGGGACAGCCCAGGCTCAGGCACGGCTGGCAGCTGAGCAAACCTTCCCCCGGGGCATCCCTTCCGAACAGGATTAATTTTTGGCTCACCCCTCAGTGACACAGAACAGAGGAGCAGGCACAGCCACACCTCCTCTGGACACGGGGACACGCTCTGAGCACCCCCTGCACCCCCAAACACACCGGCCAGGCAGAGGATGCTCCCCACCCTGCCCCCAGACCCACCTGGGGATGCTCCCCCAGACCCACCCGAGGATGCTCCCCACACTGCCCCCAGACCCACCAGGGGATGCTCCCAGATGCCCCCAGACCCACCCGGGGATGCTCCCCCAGACCCACCACAGCGACCACCCAGGCTCAGCCCCTGCGGAAACGCTCCCCAAATCCACAGGAGGCACCTCCCTTTCGCACACGTTCGTGTGCAGCAATGAACTCCCCGTGCCCTGTCCGCACACATCGCTCTGCGACACCCCCAGGGCCCCTCACAGACAGCCCAGCACACCTCCACACCTCCTGAGCACCAAAGAAACCCCCACACCGCCCTGGAATTAACGCTCCTCACGCCTTCCTCCACACAGACACACGCATAAACCCCAAATTTCACCAAGTGCAACCTGGCCAGAACGCCCTTCTCTATTCACAAAGCTTGCTCATTAAATCCCCTCTCTAATGAGGCTGTGTGAGCTCCCAACACACCCCTGCACACGCTCCCCAAACACTGAAACCCCCCCAACACCCCGCCCTCCAAACATCCATCGTACCCTCCCCGCACCCCGAGCACCCCAAGTGCCTGAGCCCACGCACTGTGTGCACCGTACCCCAAAAACGGCGTCCGCAGAGCGCACAAACCCTTCCACCCCATCACTCCGGCCCTACTGCCCCTGCCCCTGCCCCTCTTTCCCATTCATCCCCACCCACCCCACTGGGAAACGCACTGCACCCACCCGGGGACAGCCCCAGCCCGGACAGACGTGGGGACACCCTGAGCCAGCAACCAGACACACGGACACAGCCAGGAGCTGGACACACAGATACACGGACACACGGACACAGCCAGGAGCCGGACACACGGACACAGCCAGGAGCTGGACACACGGACACACAGACACACGGACACAGCCTGGAGCAGGACACACGGACAGAGCCAGGAGCTGGACACACGGACACAGCCTGGAGCCAGACACACGGACACACAGACACACGGACACACGGACAGACACACGGACGCACAGACACAGCCTGGAGCCGGACACACGGACACACAGACACACGGACACACAGACACACAGACACACGGACACACGGACAGACACACGGACGCACAGACACAGCCTGGAGCCGGACACACAGACACACAGACACACGGACACAGCCTGGAGCCGGACACACCCCTCCGGCCGCGCTGGGAACACGCCGGGGATGGCCCCGGCAGCGCTCGGCCGGGCTCAGCGGGGCTCAGCGGGGCTCAGCATCCCCCGAGCCCGGGCAAACGCGACCCTTCCGGGCATCCCCGCGTGGTGCAGCCCCCTCCCCAGCCCTCCTCCTCCCTGCACCAGGCAGTGATGCTCCTTACCTTCCTCCAGCTCGTCCATGCTGCCGATCTTCCGCGAGCCATCGATGGTGTAGATGTACCGCACTCCCTGAGGCAGGTTAATGTTGTCGGACAGGGACCGGGTCAGGTCCGCCAGCAGGGCATCAAAACTTCGGAAGCGGTCGGAGGACACGGCGTATACAATCCCCTTGAAGTAGCGGTCCCCGTTGCGATAGAAACGAACCTTCTTGGCTTTCTTCTCGTTACTCAGCGCCTGTAAGGTCCGGGTTCTGTAGAAGCTACAGTGGGCACTGTGAGTGGGGCTGGGTAAGCCGTTCATCCGTGTGCCTCGCATGTTTCTGGACGCCTTGTCTCTTTCGTCAAAGTGTCCAAAATCAAGTTCCATAGTTTGGTGAACCCTAAAGATCTGAAGCTGGGCAGGAAGGAGACGGGGAGAGAAGGAGGGCAAAGGGACGGGTTAGAGAGCAGCAGAGCCACGAATCCGGAGAGCAAAATGACACTAAGGCTGTGTCTGGAGCAGGACAGATGCATTTGGGAAGCGCCCCCTCCCCTGACCCAGATTTGTATCGATTCTGGGGACTGAGAGTAGGAGGGGTCCTCGCATTTTGAAAGCGATCCAAGTACTGGGGGCAGGGAACACGTTTCTAGAGAGCTGCCTGCTTCTGCACCTGGGAGTTTTCAAAGTGCAGCAAATTGGGACCTGGGGCCAAAGGGATACATGGCAATCACAGCTCAGCCCCAAAAAACTCATCCGAACACCAGTTGGCAATGAATTAAACCTCTGAGCCCTGTGAGGTTTCCTTTGGCAGCAGAAAACAAGGAGTTCCCAGTAAGTCAGCCCTTCAATCTGTCGAATCACGGAAGGACCCAGAGCATCTGAATGTTTAACATTAGAATAAACTGGCGTTTATGAAAGAATGGTCGCAGGGGAATAAGCAGTTTCTTTGTGACAGCCTGTTCAATAAGGGTTAGCAATGAGATCCAGCCCACCCTTCCCCCTATCCGCAGCCCCCTCCCAGCCCATCAATCAATTCCCAGGACCAGCCTACTTCTCTAAGAAGAAATGACTGCAAAGAAAAATCTGTCATTGAAACGCAGCTTCGGTAAGCTCTTTTCAGCCCGAGCCTCCTCTGAATTGCATTTTTGCTCCCGTTTAATGAGGAGGAGAAAATAAAGGGGCTATTTCCACCCCCCGCTCCCAGCCCTAAGTGATTTAATAGCTGGAAGTGCCCGTGCCCCAGGGACACGCCGCCCCTGCTCCTCACCTTTCATTGTTCTGAGCACGGGGGCTTCCAGCACAGAAAAGCCGAGGCTGGAGCTGACACCCAGCGAGCAGGAATTCTGCACTGTCTCTAGTTCATGCTCGAGAACAACCTTTCTCCTGCACCAAACCCCAGCACAAAAGGAGAAGGAACCCCCCCAGCCCTGTAATAGAGACCCTTGCACTCCCCCAGCACCACCAGGCACATGCACCTCACCAATGTTGCTCTCACGTTATGGCACAGGGCTGAAAGGGGATTTACAGCACTTGGCAGCCAGGTACAGACCCAGGAAAAGCTGTTGCTATCTCATCCCCGCCCTTTACACTAGCCAGAACGAAGCTCCTTCCCTGTATTCTACAATGTCAGCGCGACCCATGCAAGAAAATATCATTGTCCCCAGGCTGCAGTGAGGCAGATGACAATGCAGGCGATCCACACAGAAGCCCCAAGTTGGGAACGTTCCCCCCACGATGCCAGCTGGGGTAGATTCAGTCTGGTGTCATGCACTGAACAATGAAACATCCAAGCAACTTCGGGAATGAATCAGAGGATGCAGGGGGTTTGATTTTAAAATGAACTGCAGATGCTCTAAGGCACACAAAAAAAGAAGGTTCTTCCTTTCTGTTACTTTTCTGCATGCAAGTCACTCAGCAAAGCTCTACTCACCGGTTTTCAGCGCGCAGGGTGGAGATGCTCAGAGAAAGAAAACCGGGCTCACTCTGCCTTTGTTGTCTGAGCTCCAAGCAAGAAATTCCTGCCAGGGTGGATGAGACGCCTCCTAGGTCCTAGTGCCTTGTTCCATCCCTTCACGGTAACTTTGCCTCGGTGATTCTCACTCTCACCATCAGTCTGCTCACAGTCTGTGTTTGAGGGGAAAACGGGGTGCTGATTCCAGCTCTGGATAGGTCAGCAGATGAGGAAACAAAAGGTTTAGAGGGGCGGGTTCGGGGATGATGTTTGGAAGGATGCAAATTTCCCCTTGAATCCAGTTGTACCAAGAAATCATCTGGCCCAACTAAAGAAAACAAAACAAAACAAAACCAAAACCAAAACAAAACCAAAAACCACCAAACAAACAAACAAAACAAAAACCAAAAAAACCCAAAAACAAAACAAAACAAAAAACCCCAGGATAATTGCCCCAGTCCTCCTAGAGGATTAGCAGTACAGGGGAGTCACAGTCACAATCCCACAGTGTGGCACAGTGCTGGCACAAGACTCCTGTGCATTAGGAAGGCAACTGAGAAAATCTCTGACCAGTGGAACTGGGCAAAGTCCTGCTCCTGTGCTGGTTTTACACTGGCAGGCAGAAAGGGAGAATTCACTTGGTGGTTCTGCATGAGGTGCCCCTGAATACTTTTCCTCTGTTAACATTGGACACAAGCCAAAGCCAGAGCACTGAATCCCAGTTCATTCAAATCCCATGGGGCTTCAGGATGGAGTCATTCAACACAATTTAAACCCAGCAGATCCAGCGTGGCTCATATCCCCCAGTAAGAGAAGTTTATTTCTAATTCCACTACAGGAGGACCCAGCTGTTAAATTTGTACTGAGCTCTTTCACTTTGACAGCAAAATCTTTCACCTGCTTTCTGGGTGGAGATTTCTGTGCTGCAGCACCACTAACCCTGCTCCTAACCCCACTGGTGCTGGCCTCATCTTTACTTTAGAAAAGACTGGGATGTGGAAATGGGAGAGTTTTCCCATCTGTGGAAGGAAATCTTTCCTAATAACACTGCATCTGTTTCGAGTGGAAACATCAGATGTTGTCATTCTGGCACATCACAGCAGTATCACATTTGCACAGAAGAAGTCAGTATTTATTCCAGCTTTGTCTGCCCTGTGCATGATAGTCCAGGCAACACTGACACAAACCCACTGAGGGTTTGTCTCTGCTTGCCAGCAACTTTCACACATGACATTTGTAAAAAGTTCCTTATTCCCTGAATCCACCCTTTTATTCAAAGGCTCCCATGCATCCCCTGCTGGAGCTTTTGGCTGTTCCCTTGTGTGTGTGGTCAGATCACTGCAGAGGAGACAGATCTGCTTTCCTCCATCAGGAATTAGCCCTTGAGAAGACAATGGGGAAGAACAAGGTGTATTTCCTCTCCAGGGTACATTTCAGTAGGTCTCTGGATGTAGTTTCAAGAGGTATGTGGGACTTCAAACCTTGTCCTTCCCATTAGAGCCTATTCTGAATTAGATCATTCCTGGCTGTTCATCACCATGAGCTTAATCTGTCCAGAATTAACAATTCTTTCCTATAACACAACACTGCTGTAAATATAAATCTGCCCATGCTTTAAAAATTTGCCAAAAATATAAATCATTCAGCATGAGCCAAGTACAGCAGCAGCAAGAATAGAGAAAAGGAGAGTCTTCATTCAGCCTTCAGTGGCACACACAGCTTTGACAGAGAAGAGGAAGACTTTTGGGATGATGGCTAAGCATCCAGGTACTACACCAAAGTAACCAAGCAAGATGCTGTAGACCGAGGTGGAATTGTACCACAATGTGTTAATCTCCCAAATTTGACTTGTATGGGAAGTTCTGAGGACAGCAAAGGGTGTCAAGCATCATTAACAGATGGCTCCTCTTTCTGCATCTGAGCCCAAGCCCGCTGTGAGATGAGCGTGTCTGCATGGACACGTCTGCTCAGGACAGGGACAGAAGCTTTTTGAAACACAGGCACTTCCTTTGGAAAGCTTTTTGAAAGAATTACTCCAACAGGAGAACTGGAATTTGTCCCTGACTGAAGGATAAAGTTTCTATAGCAAATCATGGTAATGTTCATCTTGGGTAAAAACTCGACTTCCTCCCAAACAATGGCCAGAACACCTCCAGTGTGTGCTCCTTTCCTCCTGCCACAAGACCAGGAGGATCTCACAAGCCAGAGCACCATCAGAGGTGAAGACCCCTGGAGCCAGACTGATTTCACATGTCCTCATATTTGCTTCTCTCCAAGTGAGAACAGAATCACCCCAAACCACAGACATCAGCACAAAAATAAGCAGCAATTTCTTGAGGAAAGCAAGGCCCTGCTCCTGACTTCATTTCTTCTTCAGAGCTTCTTCCCTGGCCTTAAGGAGTTAATGCCAGTCAAAACATATTTACATCAGAAGAGACTCACCCTCTGAGACATCATAATCTAAACAATTTTAGGCAGCATGAGTGATTGAGAATTGGAAAGAAAATTCTACTTCCCATCAATAATTTCATCTAGCTGCAAAGGAAAGATAAATTTAGCTCTTCAGATTAAATTATCTACTTTAAATCAGGTGAATCATCTTTCCTCCAGGAAGGTAATATTTAGACTTTTGCCTGTGTAGCTAAATCCGTATAAATACATGTTTGTTGACATTGCTGAGCAACTGTGACACTTTGGAAAGGGACACACTGCAGATGCCAGGGGTTCATTGTGTGAATGCTGTGTGCTAACTTCTTCACATACACCTAGAAAATCCAGTTCCTAGCATCACTAGGAGCTGCAGTCTCAAATACTCCATGTCAATGCCCAGTTGCTTTGCTATGCAATTTCCTGGCTTCTATAAAAATTGCCTCTGATAGCACAGCACATTCTCTGGACAGGATATAAGTTAGGGTGATAAAGCAGCCAAGGTCTGGCTGTGCCACAGAATCATGGAAAAATCAAGTGATCACTGGGTTTGGAGGAAGTCTTGGATCAACATCTTCAGTCTATTTAGACACACACACATTTAGTTACATTTCTTACTTTAACCTCTGTTGTTCTCAACTGTTTGGAAATTGTCATTCCTGATCACCACTGTCAAAGCTCTGCTTGATATAGCTTAAACACCAAAACTCTCTGAAATGACAAATTATTATTTCAGGGGTCTGTGTCAAGGCACTCGCAGCTGAAACCCCATGAAGTCAATGACTCAATCTCGATCCTAAAGAGCAACATCCTTTAAATCTGAACCTCCAGAAGAGCTGACAGTTCATCAGAGTTATCCTGTATCAGGCTATAGAGTTAAGTTCCTCCTACATATTACTACGAGCTAATAATGGGGACTTGGCAGACTTTCACCACATAACATTTGTTTCCTTTGGAGATTTATTTTTATAGGGACCACACACATGTGAAAGTCTTTTAAATACCAGTGCTGGAAAGCCAAAGTCAGCCCAGCCACTGGGGAGAGAAGGGTGGAGGATCCAGAGCAGCTCCTTCTCTGCAAGCCTTGGAAACATCTGCAGGGGCTGCTCAGATCTGGAGGTTGAAGGACTGAACTTTTCACAGTCTGAACCACTGGAACCTCCAGGGACAAAGTTTGCCATGTGAGGAAGGAGAGGGTGGAAGAAGAAGCTGGGCTGTGAGGCCACCTCGGTGTGGGACTGCTCAGGTGTGCCCAGAGCAGCAGTGTCCCCTGGCTGGGACTGCTCAGGTGTGCCCAGGTGGCCTGGCTGGGACCTGCCACTCCTCCACACCCCACAGGCTGTGCTGATCACATCATGCCAGCCCCACACCCCTGGCAGATGCCCTCAATCTCAGCAGGTGACTTCACCTTCGGGTATTTCTGAAATCTATTTCTTTGCATCCTCTGAGGGACCATCAGGAAGCAGGCTGAAAGTGGAAAGGCCATTTTCCATGCTGAGTATCTGGAAACTGTGCAGGAACTCAATATATTCCAAACACATCCAGATACAACAAAGCATTAAACCCCACAACAGTCATAAAAAAAAAAAATACCTTCTGCACTAGATCTCTTCTGGCTCAATTCCCTCTCTGCTACAACAAACCACCACAATTAATAAAACTTTCCCAGCTGAAAGCAAATTTCCTGACAGCAGGAAGTGAAGCACCCCACCCCAGCACACCCCGTGTGAATTTTGGGTGAACTCTGCCAGAGCCAGAAAGTTCCATGAGCCAGGTTCTGGTGGCAGCTCAGTGGCAGCGTTTTCCCTTAAAATCAAAGTGCAAAGCTTGCAGAAATCAGTGGCTGTGCCTGCCTCATGCTCTGCCTGCACCCAGGGGACGTGCAGAACCCCTCTGAGGTTGTCAGTACATTTTGCTGGCTAAGTCATGGATGATACATGGTCTGTGAGCCCCAGCCAGGGTCATGACAGATGGAACAACAGAGCATCCAAATTCTCCTTTTTCCAAGGTTGTCCATGGGCTGCATCATAGTATTTAGGAGACTTGTGACCAAGAATTTAATAACTTCTTGATAATTTCATTTTATACAGTAATTGTAACTGAATACCTGATTGCCAGCCTCTCTCAAAGTGCCTACTGAGTGTAACATTGTCTCGAAGGACTTTCCTGATAGAATTCTAAGTGATAGAAAGGAAAATCGCATCAAAGCCATCACGGGGGATCATGTCACATTCAAGTTGGAAGTGCAAGATGTTTCCTTTCAAACACAGATCCTTTCTGTCACTCTGAAGGCAGTGACAGTGAAGTCAGGTGACACTGGGGAAGCATTTGCAAAAGATCCAAGATGAGCTGTTGGGTAAGGTCAGAAATCCCAACAACAGACCGTTTCAGAAGTTGTTTTCCATGAGACTTCAGTAAATGTCATCCCAGACCAAGAGGCTGCAGGATTAGCTCTATCAGTAGGGTAGGAGAGTAAGAATTAAGGTGTAGGAGAGCAGGTAAAGAAAGCTTTTGTGTCTGTTTTACTCTTTTCAGGAGATGGTTCCAATCTGTTTTATCCTAAAAATACAGGCAGCACTAATGAATGGTGATTTTTTTCATGGCAGCAAATATTCCCCAGCTATTTCGTTATTGTTCCTCAGGCACACATATCATGTACCTACAATAAACTATTGATAATCGGTGCTTTGCATCTGTGCTGGCATTTAGAGGTAGATACAGCAATGAGAAAACTCATTTAGCTACATCAAAAGAAAAGCTTATCTGCCCGAAGTCTCATGCAAATGAGGAGTACACTG